TATTGTCATTACTGAAATTAACCGTATTTTCATGAGGAAGTTCTTTTCTGTTATTTTATGGTATTATTTTGGCGCCCCAGCTGCCACAGTACCTGTAACACCTACAGCGTGCTCTAATCGCTGCACTGACATATTACCAGCTGTAAAAACAAAGTGCAGGTTCTTGACAGCGACTTGCTGCTTCCTCCAAATATCATATGTTCATTATTCTCCACTGTTGTTAAGCAGTCATAGCAGTGGGACATGCTAAGTACTGAAAAGACAGTCACAGCTTCATCATGTTGATGCCATTACTGGCCCAGTGTGAGACAAAGTGCTCTCAGAGAAAACAACTGAAATGTCTGCCTGAACATAGAATAGAATAGAATAGAATAGAATAGAATAGAACAGAATAGAATAGAATAATCCTTTAATTGTCCCACAAGGGGAAATTTGGTTGTAACAGCAGCCAGAAAGACACACATACAAACAAACAGGACAGAAACATTTTTCTTACATATTTACATCGAGGACAGTGGTTCCTATAAACAGAGAACTGTACAGTTATTAAATTAAATAAAAGTAACTACAGATAAGAGGCAAACCTAAAAAGGCACGTCTAGGTTTCTTTAAAGTGTTTGATTGAAAACACTCAGACGTGCACATTTTGTTCTGATAAATGTTTATTTTAGTTTTTGTGTCTTTAAATGTATGTTTGTGTTGATGTGCCTTCCACATGATGGCTGTTGGCTATAACTTTAATCAGTTGTTGACACACAAACCCAACAAACATCAAAACGTTGTGGCAGCTGAAATCGATAAAGCTTAAAGGAACCATCACACAAAACAGAACAGTGAGAGTTGACGTAAAGCAGCGAATAAACCACCAAGGCCACAGTCTGATAGACGCAGACACAAAGCAGATGGGATCAAACGGAGAAATATTTATCAGTCTGATGACGTTTATGTGCAAAAGAAACTGTTTGATGGAATAATGTTGCAGAATGGGGAAGCTTTTATTGTGAAGGCGCTCAGCCAAATAATGCTTCTTTACATGTGTAACACGCACGCTGAACTTGAGTAGCTGCCTTCCACGAGCAGCGGAGCTTCCAGTTTGACTGTTGGAGGCTGATGGAGGCTGATGGAGGCGGCCTCCGTGAGCCGGAGGTGTTGGTCTGTTTACTGCGCCTGTGTTTGTGCCGTGCTGCTGCGGTGTGAGCGGTTTAAACCATCCCAGAGGAAGTTTGAAATAAAGTCACGACGTTCCCTCTGGGAGGAAATAAAGTTAATCCAGACGCAGCAGTGGCAGGAGAGGCGGGGTCATTGCCGAGTCCATCGGGCTGTTCTCATGAGCTGACTAAAGAACACTGATGGGAGAAGAGCAGCAGAAGGTGGATAAGATAAGCTTCTTTGTATTTTTACTTTCTTTTCATTAAAGAACAAAGAAGAACAAACACCTGAAGCAAATGAAAATTCAGCTGCTGTATTTGAAACAGAGCCAACACAGCTGTGGTGCAGAGGTTACATACATGTGATGATTACTTCTATACAGTACTGTAACAGTACAGTAAAAATAGTGTGCACCTTTGAAGGTAAGCTGATGTTTTCCAGTGTTCCAGTGGACACACAGCACTGCTGTGGGTTGCATTAAGCACACAGGAATATTAATGTAAGCTACATTAGAGTGCATAAGCAAA